GAGACACGCTTAGCTGATGGGAGGAGACGCCACGAGGCTGGCAAGTACGGGACGATCCCCTTGGCGATCGTTGAATTGGGCATCCGGGCGCAGTGGGCAACGGAGCACCCTTCCCGTCCTGCATCTCCTCGACCGGTGCGAAACGAAGGTGGCGTCGACGACGAGGTCGACGGCGGTGCACGAGTCAATGGCACAAGGCAGATAGGAGTGCTCAGGTCTGCCGACGGTGGTGTCGGCGGGAGTCAAGCGCGAGTGCAGCGGTCGATGGCAACTGCAGGCAACTCGCGTGTCGACGTTGATGGTCGACGACGCTCTCCTCAACGAAGCAGTGGAAGTCCCTCGGCGACAACGCATGTGACGGCTGGCGGGATCGCGCCGACGTATGGCTACTTCAAGTTTTCGCCGGACAAGATCACCGTCACACCGTTGCAAGGTCGACGTGACCTCATCACCTGGAGGTCGCCGGATTGAAGGGCTTTGCCGACAATTCCGCACGAGGACGATGTCGAGCTGCGCGGGGAGTTTCGTGCTGCTCACTTGCTCACCTTCATGGTCATCTCGAGGTGCTGCTCGCCGGTGGTGCAGCTAGCGCTCAGGAGCTGTCGAGAGCGTCTGGATGCTGGTCACCAAGCATGGCACTTCATCCTGTCGACGTACCAGGCGAAGGACGACCTGCATATTGGACAGCTGGAGGAGAAGATGACACATCTTCGGATGGGTGAGCAGGAGTCGGCGACGGACTACTGCAACCGTGCTCGATGTATACTAGCCGAAATGCGGATGGCGGACGCCGAATACTCTACGGCGTCCTACATCACCCACGTCGTCAAGGGCCTGCCGCGTAGCTACAACCTCATGAAGAGGATGATGATGGTGCCTGATACGCGGGAGTCACTCGACGAGGATTCAATCACCAGCTACATCCTTCAAGATGAGGCTATGCAGGAGGCAGAGCAGCCCACGGAGCTCCTTCCGCAGGCGAGTTACGCTGCACCGACGAAGCAGAATCGTCCGCAGGGGCAGCGAGGAAAGTCTGGCGGAGGTGGTAGCGGAGGTGGGAGGTCGGCGAAGGACGCCGACCAGGCGAAATCAACTCGTGACAGTGGTCGCGGCAAGGGTGGTCGACGGCGTGAGTGCTGGGTCTGCGGAAGCGCCGACCACCTCTCCTATGACTGCCCCGACCGAGAAGACACTGACGACGATGACCACAAGGGAGGCCGCGGAAGGTCGGCCAACGGTCGTCAAAGTCGGGACGAGAAGCCGCGCAAGGAGAAGCAGACGTCGTCGACGAAGGAGGTCGACTCCTCCAGCGACAAGGGGCAAGGTGACGGAGAGGCTTCATGCTCAATGGTCAGCATGGTGGAGCAGACTGTTTCGCTGGCGCCAGAGGCCGGCGAAATGGTGCGGTCGCAGCAGCCGTGCAAGCGAATCCAATGGTGGTTCTGCTCGACAGCGGTTGCTCACACCACCTCATGGGGACGAAGGAGGCCTTTGTTGACATGGGGCCGAGCGGCAATGTGAAGCATGTGCGTGGCTTCAACGGGGCTCTGCAGACCGTCGAGGGCCGAGGCACCGTCGCTCTGCAAGGGGAGGCCGGGAAGCAGGTCCTCATCCCCGACGTGCTCTACGTCCCGGGCGTGCAGGCGAACCTGCTGTCAGCCGGTCAGCTGAAGGAGAATGGTGTGCTGCTGCAGGACGACGGCGACGAGACGATGCTCGTCAACGCGACCGGGGAGGTGCTCGGTCGAGCACGCTATACTGGCCGCGTCCTCTGCACCAACCTTCAACCCTGCTCGACAAAGCTGTCATCGAAGTCGACTGAGGTGGTGGCTCTGCGAACGATTGCATCGGCGACAAAGTCGACGCCGCCCAGGTGGCATGCGAGGCTTGCGCACGTTGGCATTGACACCATCAAGAGCTCGGCGAAGCACAATGTTGCCACTGGCTTGGACATCAAGCCGTCGACGGGGACCGATCTGCCGTGCGTCTCCTGTGTAGGCGGAAAACTTGCGCAGCACACCTTCCCCGACAAAGGTTCGGACGCGGAGGAGGCCCTGGCCGTCGTGCACATCGACCTGTGCGGACCGTTCCGGGTGGCCGCCAAGGATGGCAGCTACTACTTCCTCCTGCTGAAGGATCGAAAGACTCGCTACGTGTGGGTGAAGCCGGACGCCAAGAAGAGCGACGTCCTGCACGTGTTCGAGCAGTGGCTGCTGACCGTGGAGAGGCAAACCAAGAAGTCGGTGATGATGCTCCGCTCTGACCGTGGAGGCGAGTTCCTGGGGAAGGACTTTACCAACTTCGTCAACAGCAAAGGAATCGTCCACGACCTGACCTGCCCGTACACTCCGCAGCAGAACGGCATGGCGGAGAGGGAGATGCGTACGGTCGTGCGAGGTCGTGCGAACGATGCTGCTGCACATGGGCGTGCAGCACCACTGGTGGCATCTCGCCCTGCGTTAGGCCGTCTGGGTTCGCAATAGCTTGGAGCGATCGTCCC